CCACTACTCGCTAGATGCTCATCTCAATAGAATAAACCTCGTGGACAGCAACATCTGTCGGTGTGGAAACGGTTACGATGACATCGAACACGCAGTTTGGCAATGTACGGATAATGAGGCCGCCAGAGAGCGACTTTTGAATACCCTCGAGGCCCAAGGAAGACAACCCTATGTTCCTATCAGAGACGTGTTGGCAACCCGTGATCTCTGCTATATGCAGTCCGTTTATGTTTTTCTTCAAATGTCTAGTATAAGAATTTAATTCCTTTTGTCTTTTGTCTCTCTTTATTAGTTTTTGTTTGTCTTGTCCCCCCGTCTCGATGAGTCTCATCGTCGCCCACTGGTCACCCACCATAGCCGGTCGAACTCCGGACGAAGCTAGAACAGCACTACCGTTCATACTGGCGACAACGCTCTGATGAGACAACGAAACCCTACCCCAAGCTCCTCCCCTGATCCTATCCTTCGAAAATGTACCCTTCTAACCTCGAGTAAGCCGCGAGTAATCGGCCCAACTCCTACTAGACATAGAATTAAGTGAATTTTGTTACACACAGTGAACAATGAATTATCGGCTCCGTAAAGCTAACGCGATTGAGCCTTCCAAATAAACGAACTAGATAAAAAAAAAAAAATCAGGGGTGTGTGGATTCATGCAGAACATGCAGGGGTAAGTGAAATAGCTTGGGACTGCTTGGGACCGTTGTTCTGGTACTGAGTGAGCCAAAAATAATAATGATTTTCTTCGGGACCCAGTGGTCTTAGAGTTATCTCTATGAGTTGAGCACGTTATTTCGGGACCTTCTAGTCTTAGAGTTACCTCTATGATACCACAGAGAACAGACGTTCAAGCTCGGTCAGAAACTTGTGTAAAATAAGTGGGAACGTCGCCGTTACGTGGTGTTAGCATCTCCTGATTTTCTCAATAAATTTTCCACTTTCGACCAATTTGGCGCTAGTATCGATAAATTTTCTGTTGAAAATTGCCACTTGGCGCTACTAGCACTTAGTGTCTAGTGTAATTTGTGCAACGCCAGCGCCATCATGTTTTCAAAGAGGGTTTTTAAGTGGGGAAGTCGCCGTTAGTGGCACTTAAGTCGAATAGGAATCTTTACACAAGTTTTTAGAGAAATTTTGTTCGAGCCTCCATGTCTGTTCTCTGTGATGATACTAAGGATCTGAACCATTTGGTGGAATTTTTAAACTTTTGGTTAAAATTTGACAGATGGAAAGTTATCGATTAACCGTGGCTCGAAAACCGGTCGATCGACAGCACGGGAATTTTCGAACATGTAAAATAACTTTCGAGTGTCACTTTTAACCACGAGTTAAATTTAACCACAGAGAAGAGACGTTCAAGTTCGGTCAGAAACTTGTGTAAAATAAGTGGAAACGTCGCCGTTACGTGGTGCTAGCATCTCCTGATTTTCTCTATAAATTTTCCACTTTCAACCAATTTGGCGCTAGTATCGATAAATTTTCTATTGAAAATTGCTACTTGGCGCTACTAGCACTTAGTGTCTAGCGTAATTTGTGCAACGCCAGCGCCATCAGGATGTCAAAGAGAGTTTTTAAGTGGGGAAGTCGCCGTTAGTGGCGCTTAAGTCGAATAGGAATCTTTACACAAGTTTTTAGAGAAACTTTGTTCCAGCCTCCATGTCTGTTATCTGTGATTTAACTCCGCAAATTGTACACAGCCTAAAGCCACAGAGAACAGACATGGAGGCTCGAACAAAATTTCTCTAAAAACTTGTGTAAAGATTCCTATTCGACTTAAGCGCTACTAACGGCGACTTCCCCACTTAAAAACTCTCTTTGACATCCTGATGGCGCTGGCGTTGCACAAATTACACTAGACACTAAGTGCTAGTAGCGCCAAGTGGCAATTTTCAACAGAAAATTTATTGATACTAGCGCCAAATTGGTCGAAAGTGAAAAATTTATTGAGAAAATCAGGAGATGCTAACACCACGTAACGGCGACGTTCCCACTTATTTTACACAAGTTTCTGACCGAGCTTGAACGTCTGTTCTCTGTGCTAAAGCCTAGTATACAGATCGAAGCGAAACGAAAATTGAAGCACGCGAAAAATCATGAAATTTCGCTAACGAAAAAGGTTGTGAAAAAATGTGGGTAAATAATACCCAGTATACAACCGTGAACTGATTCTTTAAATGGGTATTTATCACCCATTTTATGATTTAAAAATTCTCCCATTTTTTGACAGATGCATACATGGTTTGTAAATGGGTATTTTGTTTACCTATAGTCCTCTCCAGCCGGGTTGGTATTGGTGCGAGTTGCGTGTGTTAGTGAGATGAAATTTTTTGTTAGCTGTGAGAATTTTTTTGTTTGCTGTTAGAACTGTCATTCTAAAGTAACAATAAACAACAAAACGAAAACAAACCCTACGCTTGCACGGTAAAGGGCCACCCACATTCGATCCGTTTGCGTTGCGTTGACGTAAATTTGACAGTTAGACAATAGATTTAGCTGTCACTTTGCCGCAACGCGTTCGATCCGGATCTAATGTGCGTGGGCCTTAACAGTCAAGTACCCTTTTGTGAGTAAAGGTTAACCCATTTTTGATAAAGGTGGTTTTACCATAGAGGTAACTCTAAGACCACTGGGTCCCGAAGAAAATCATTATTATTTTTGGCTCACTCAGTACCAGAACAACGGTCCCAAGCAGTCCCAAGCTAATTAACTCACCCCTGCATGTTCTGCATGAATCAACACACCCCTGATGTTATCTGTCAAACTTTCATAGCGAATCAAAACAAACATAGTGTAGTAATAGAATTTCAACTAGAATAGGGTACGTTAATCGTTTGCTTGGGACCAATAGGCTACTAAAGTGGTGAGCCAATTTAAAATCGTTAGTTTCGTATTGATTGTTGGTTTTACTCATTAATGAGTAAATTATTTTAACAACAATGAGTTTCTGCTAACAGTTACTACTTAATTGGCATAATGAATTACTCATTAATTAGTGGTGCCACTCTTATTTACAATGGGTTCACTTTTACTCATAAATGGATGTTTGATTCTTACCGCGCACATGACAGTATAGGCTAGTGTGTGTAAAATTATGTTATTAGTGTAGTGTTCGTGACATCCTGCTTGGAGAACTCAATTAATGGGTTTTCGCGAAACACCGTGTAGGTAGAAGTTTGTGATGTTTGTGTTTGTTCTTTTTTTACGTGCACGCTTTTTCAGTGGGCGCGCTGCTGGCGACTTGCCAGCTGTATGTGCGATATTTGTGTTTTTCGACCAGTTCACATTCTTTCTCAGTCGAGCGTTGGGCCAAGGTGGTTCAGTTTTTTTTCGCTCTGTTAAAATTAATACAGTTAAAATATACACAGCAAAAAAAATATAATATCGATCAATGTAATTCAAGCTGATGTATGAAATAATGAGGTAATAGAAAAAAAGCTGATACATACAATATTACATCAATAGATGTAATTTTGTTCGCAAAATCGATGTACATCGTAAAATCGATTTACATTACACTACCGATGTATGTAATATTCAACAACTTTTTTTTTTCTCTGTAGTGCTCAATTTCAAAGTGCTTCAAGCAGCCGCCGTTCACAGCCACGTCACCATCATTAGCTCATCAAAATCGTCGTTGTGCGCCGAGATAAGGGTAGGTAGCAGTTTGTGTTTTTTTGTGTTTGTTCTTCTTTTATTTTACGTGGGGCTACGCCTTTTTTAACTTTACAAACGGTCAATGATATCAACCAAAATTTGAATTCAGGTTACTCGTAAATCGCAAAAAGTGCAGGAGCTCAGCGACGAGTAAATTTGCCTCTTGTTTTTTTCCAGGTTTTTCTAGGAAAAAAATCCCGTATATGAGAAAAGTAAGATTGGATTCTCTCAGTTTATCTTTACTACTAATAGACTGGGTAAAATTTTCGTCAATTTTCCTCATTTTCCGGCGAAATTTTGAGGTTTTAAAAAAAAATCTCATCGCTGAGCACCTACACTTGTTGCTATTTATAAGTAAATTGAACTCAAATTTGGGATGATCTCATTGACCGTATGGAGGTCACATTGCGAAATCGAAAATGACGCATGTAACAAAAATGGAGATGTTTTCAAACGCCAAACAACGTCGACCAAAAAGCGCCACGCCGAGTCCGCCAGGCGGTCAGTGGGCGCGCTGCTGGCGACTCGCCAGCTGTATGTGCGATATTTGCGTTTTTCAACCAGTTCACATTCTTTCTCATGCGTGCCGAGATAAGTGTAGGCAGAGTTGCAAAAAATCAAATTCATTTTGCTGACGCCGCAAGAAGTGAGTCAATACGGAATTCATTATGTATCTTTCCACGATTTCCACCCAATGAACGACAATGGCGCTAATGATTTTTGCTTTCACTCCTTATGCATTTGATATTTCACGCAATCTTTCCATATTATTTCGTATTTGGATTCAATGAGAATGAACCAGGAAATAATTCACGTTCATCTTGTCATGTCACAAGGACTGAAAAATTGATTCATTTCACTTAATATTTACGTAATGAATGTTCCAAGCATAGCAACGCGGCACCTAAAAAAACAATTTTGGTTGAACAAAATTAACGTTAACAACAATGAGTTTCTGCTAACAGTTACTACATAATTGGCATAATGAATTACTCATTAATTAGTGGTGCCGCTCTTATTTACAATGGGTTCACTTTTACTCATAAATGGATGTTTGATTCTTACCGCGCACATGACAGTATAGGCTAGTGTGTGTAAAATTATGTTATTAGTGTAGTGTTCGTGACATCCTGCTTGGAGAACTCAATTAATGGGTTTTCGCGAAACACCGTGTAGGTAGAAGTTTGTGATGTTTGTGTTTGTTCTTTTATTACGTGCACGCTTTTTCAAAACTACCCAAATTTGGGTAGAATCCACTCGGATCGGTCAAAACTGAACCTACCCAAAAATAGGTAAACTGTGTTGGGAGTGACAAGTTGACCAATTAACAACATTGACATGAATCCGATCGACGTTGTTCATTTGTCAACTTGTCACTCCCAACACAGTTTCCCATTTTCGGGTAGGTTCAGTTGTGACCGATTCGGGTGGATTGTACCCAAATTTGGGTAGTTTTGAAATAGCGTGTAGGCCTACGCCTTTTTTAATCTATATACACGGCCAATGAAATCAAACCAAATTTGAATTCAGTTTACTCATAAATCGCAAAAAGTGCAGGAAACCACCGATGAGTAAATTTGCCTCTTGTTTTTTCTTGGTTTTTCCAGGAAAAAAAAAATCCCGAATGTAAGAAAATTAAGATTGGATTCTCTCATGGTGGTAAGCTCCAACCGGTATTATCCTTGGATTAAATCCTCATCAAGAACGTCTGGCTGATTTTATGTTGACATCAGGTTTAGTCAACACGACTCTAAGCAAACATTTTGCGGGTCATCCAAACAGGAACGGTATTAAAAGTTAATCCGAGTTGGAGCTCACCGCCGTCAGTCTATTGGTACTACTCCAAAAACTGAGTATTTTTTGTCAATTTTTGAGGTTTTCCATAGGAGGAAAATCTACTCATCGCTGAGCTCCTGCACTTTTTGCGATTTATGAGTAAATTGAACTTAAATTTGGGATGATCTCATTGATCGTATGGAGGTCACATTGCGAAATCGAAAATGACGCATGTAACAAAAATGGAGAAGTTTTCAAACGCCAAATGTCAACCAAATAGCGCCACGCCGGTGATCCGTCCAGTCCACTGGGCGGTCAGTGGGCGCGCTGCTGGCGACTTGCCAGCTGTATGTGCGATATTTGTGTTTTTCAACCAGTTCACATTCTTTCTCAGTCGAGCGTTGGGCCAAGGTGGTTCAGTTTTTTTTCGCTCTGTTAAAATTAATACAGTTAAAATATACACAGCAAAAAAAATATAATATCGATCAATGTAATTCAAGCTGATGTATGAAATAATGAGGTAATAGAAAAAAAGCTGATACATACAATATTACATCAATAGATGTAATTTTGTTCGCAAAATCGATGTACATCGTAAAATCGATTTACATTACACTACCGATGTATGTAATATTCAACAACTTTTTTTTTTCTCTGTAGTGCTCAATTTCAAAGTGCTTCAAGCAGCCGCCGTTCACAGCCACGTCACCATCATTAGCTCATCAAAATCGTCGTTGTGCGCCGAGATAAGGGTAGGTAGCAGTTTGTGTTTTTTTGTGTTTGTTCTTCTTTTATTTTACGTGGGGCTACGCCTTTTTTAACTTTACAAACGGTCAATGATATCAACCAAAATTTGAATTCAGGTTACTCATAAATCGCAAAAAGTGCAGGAGCTCAGCAACGAGTAAATTTGCCTCTAGTTTTTTCCAGGTTTTTCTAGGAAAAAAATCCCGTATATGAGAAAAGTAAGATTGGATTCTCTCAGTTTATCGGTACTGGGTAAAATTTTCGTCAATTTTCCTCATTTTCCGGCGAAATTTTGAGGTTTTCAAAAAAAAATCTCATTGCTGAGCACCTACACTTGTTGCTATTTATAAGTAAATTGAACTCAAATTTGGGATGATCTCATTGACCGTATGGAGGTCACATTGCGAAATCGAAAATGACGCATGTAACAAAAATGGAGATGTTTTCAAACGCCAAACAACGTCGACCAAAAAGCGCCACGCCGAGTCCGCCAGGCGGTCAGTGGGCGCGCTGCTGGCGACTCGCCAGCTGTATGTGCGATATTTGCGTTTTTCAACCAGTTCACATTCTTTCTCATGCGTGCCGAGATAAGTGTAGGCAGAGTTGCAAAAAATCAAATTCATTTTGCTGACGCCGCAAGAAGTGAGTCAATACGGAATTCATTATGTATCTTTCCACGATTTCCACCCAATGAACGACAATGGCGCTAATGATTTTTGCTTTCACTCCTTATGCATTTGATATTTCACGCAATCTTTCCATATTATTTCGTATTTGGATTCAATGAGAATGAACCAGGAAATAATTCACGTTCATCTTGTCATGTCACAAGGACTGAAAAATTGATTCATTTCACTTAATATTTACGTAATGAATGTTCCAAGCATAGCAACGCGGCACCTAAAAAAACAATTTTGGTTGAACAAAATTAACGTTAACAACAATGAGTTTCTGCTAACAGTTACTACATAATTGGCATAATGAATTACTCATTAATTAGTGGTGCCGCTCTTATTTACAATGGGTTCACTTTTACTCATAAATGGATGTTTGATTCTTACCGCGCACATGACAGTATAGGCTAGTGTGTGTAAAATTATGTTATTAGTGTAGTGTTCGTGACATCCTGCTTGGAGAACTCAATTAATGGGTTTTCGCGAAACACCGTGTAGGTAGAAGTTTGTGATGTTTGTGTTTGTTCTTTTATTACGTGCACGCTTTTTCAAAACTACCCAAATTTGGGTAGAATCCACTCGGATCGGTCAAAACTGAACCTACCCAAAAATAGGTAAACTGTGTTGGGAGTGACAAGTTGACCAATTAACAACATTGACATGAATCCGATCGACGTTGTTCATTTGTCAACTTGTCACTCCCAACACAGTTTCCCATTTTCGGGTAGGTTCAGTTGTGACCGATTCGGGTGGATTGTACCCAAATTTGGGTAGTTTTGAAATAGCGTGTAGGCCTACGCCTTTTTTAATCTATATACACGGCCAATGAAATCAAACCAAATTTGAATTCAGTTTACTCATAAATCGCAAAAAGTGCAGGAAACCACCGATGAGTAAATTTGCCTCTTGTTTTTTCTTGGTTTTTCCAGGAAAAAAAAAATCCCGAATGTAAGAAAATTAAGATTGGATTCTCTCATGGTGGTAAGCTCCAACCGGTATTATCCTTGGATTAAATCCTCATCAAGAACGTCTGGCTGATTTTATGTTGACATCAGGTTTAGTCAACACGACTCTAAGCAAACATTTTGCGGGTCATCCAAACAGGAACGGTATTAAAAGTTAATCCGAGTTGGAGCTCACCGCCGTCAGTCTATTGGTACTACTCCAAAAACTGAGTATTTTTTGTCAATTTTTGAGGTTTTCCATAGGAGGAAAATCTACTCATCGCTGAGCTCCTGCACTTTTTGCGATTTATGAGTAAATTGAACTTAAATTTGGGATGATCTCATTGATCGTATGGAGGTCACATTGCGAAATCGAAAATGACGCATGTAACAAAAATGGAGAAGTTTTCAAACGCCAAATGTCAACCAAATAGCGCCACGCCGGTGATCCGTCCAGTCCACTGGGCGGTCAGTGGGCGCGCTGCTGGCGACTTGCCAGCTGTATGTGCGATATTTGTGTTTTTCAACCAGTTCACATTCTTTCTCAGTCGAGCGTTGGGCCAAGGTGGTTCAGTTTTTTTTCGCTCTGTTAAAATTAATACAGTTAAAATATACACAGCAAAAAAAATATAATATCGATCAATGTAATTCAAGCTGATGTATGAAATAATGAGGTAATAGAAAAAAAGCTGATACATACAATATTACATCAATAGATGTAATTTTGTTCGCAAAATCGATGTACATCGTAAAATCGATTTACATTACACTACCGATGTATGTAATATTCAACAACTTTTTTTTTTCTCTGTAGTGCTCAATTTCAAAGTGCTTCAAGCAGCCGCCGTTCACAGCCACGTCACCATCATTAGCTCATCAAAATCGTCGTTGTGCGCCGAGATAAGGGTAGGTAGCAGTTTGTGTTTTTTTTGTGTTTGTTCTTCTTTTATTTTACGTGGGGCTACGCCTTTTTTAACTTTACAAACGGTCAATGATATCAACCAAAATTTGAATTCAGGTTACTCGTAAATCGCAAAAAGTGCAGGAGCTCAGCGACGAGTAAATTTGCCTCTTGTTTTTTTCCAGGTTTTTCTAGGAAAAAAATCCCGTATATGAGAAAAGTAAGATTGGATTCTCTCAGTTTATCGGTACTACTGATAGACTGGGTAAAATTTTCGTCAATTTTCCTCATTTTCCGGCGAATTTTTGAGGTTTTCTAAAAAAAAATCTCATCGCTGAGCACCTACACTTGTTGCTATTTATAAGTAAATTGAACTCAAATTTGGGATGATCTCATTGACCGTATGGAGGTCACATTGCGAAATCGAAAATGACGCATGTAACAAAAATGGAGATGTTTTCAAACGCCAAACAACGTCGACCAAAAAGCGCCACGCCGAGTCCGCCAGGCGGTCAGTGGGCGCGCTGCTGGCGACTCGCTAGCTGTATGTGCGATATTTGCGTTTTTCAACCAGTTCACATTCTTTCTCATGCGTGCCGAGATAAATGTAGGCAGAGTTGCAAAAAATCAAATTCATTTTGCTGACGCCGCGAGAAGTGAGTCAATACGGAATTCATTATGCATCTTTCCACGATTTCCACCCAATGAACGACAATGACGCTAATGATTTTTGCTTTCACTCCTTATGCATTTGATATTTCACGCAATCTTTCCATATTATTTCGTATTTGGATTCAATGAGAATGAACCAGGAAATAATTCACGTTCATCTTGTCATGTCACAAGGACTGAAAAATTGATTCATTTCACTTAATATTTACGTAATGAATGTTCCAAGCATAGCAACGCGGCACCTCAAAAAACAATTTTGGTTGAACAAAATTAACGTTAACAACAATGAGTTTCTGCTAACAGTTACTACATAATTGGCATAATGAATTACTCATTAATTAGTGGTGCCGCTCTTATTTACAATGGGTTCACTTTTACTCATAAATGGATGTTTGATTCTTACCGCGCACATGACAGTATAGGCTAGTGTGTGTAAAATTATGTTATTAGTGTAGTGTTCGTGACATCCTGCTTGGAGAACTCAATTAATGGGTTTTCGCGAAACACCGTGTAGGTAGAAGTTTGTGATGTTTGTGTTTGTTCTTTTTTTACGTGCACGCTTTTTCAGTGGGCGCGCTGCTGGCGACTTGCCAGCTGTATGTGCGATATTTGTGTTTTTCGACCAGTTCACATTCTTTCTCAGTCGAGCGTTGGGCCAAGGTGGTTCAGTTTTTTTTTCGCTCTGTTAAAATTAATACAGTTAAAATATACACAGCAAAAAAATATAATATCAATCAATGTAATTCAAGCTGATGTATGAAATAATGAGGTAATAGCAAAAAGCTGATACATACAATATTACATCAATAGATGTAATTTTGTTCGCAAAATCGATGTACATAGTAAAATCGATTTACATTACACTACCGATGTATGTAATATTCAACAACTTTTTTTTTTTCTCTGTAGTGCTCAATTTCAAAGTGCTTCAAGCAGCCGCCGTTCACAGCCACGTCACCATCATTAGCTCATCAAAATCGTCGTTGTGCGCCGAGATAAGGGTAGGTAGCAGTTTATGTTTTTTTGTGTTTGTTCTTCTTTTATTTTACGTGGAGCTACGCCTTTTTTAACTTTACAAACGGCCAATGAAATCAACCAAAATTTGAATTCAGGTTACTCATAAATCGCAAAAAGTGCAGGAGCTCAGCAACGAGTAAATTTGCCTCTAGTTTTTTCCAGGTTTTTCTAGGAAAAAAATCCCGTATATGAGAAAAGTAAGATTGGATTCTCTCAGTTTATCGGTACTGGGTAAAATTTTCGTCAATTTTCCTCATTTTCCGGCGAAATTTTGAGGTTTTCAAAAAAAAATCTCATTGCTGAGCACCTACACTTGTTGCTATTTATAAGTAAATTGAACTCAAATTTGGGATGATCTCATTGACCTATGGAGGTCACATTGCGAAATCGAAAATGACGCATGTAACAAAAATGGAGATGTTTTCAAACGCCAAACAACGTCGACCAAAAAGCGCCACGCCGAGTCCGCCAGGCGGTCAGTGGGCGCGCTGCTGGCGACTCGCTAGCTGTATGTGCGATATTTGCGTTTTTCAACCAGTTCACATTCTTTCTCATGCGTGCCGAGATAAGTGTAGGCAGAGTTGCAAAAAATCAAATTCATTTTGCTGACGCCGCGAGAAGTGAGTCAATACGGAATTCATTATGCATCTTTCCACGATTTCCACCCAATGAACGACAATGGCGCTAATGATTTTTGCTTTCACTCCTTATGCATTTGATATTTCACGCAATCTTTCCATATTATTTCGTATTTGGATTCAATGAGAATGAACCAGGAAATAATTCACGTTCATCTTGTCATGTCACAAGGACTGAAAAATTGATTAATTTCACTTAATATTTACGTAATGAATGTTTCAAGCATAGCAACGCGGCACCTCAAAAAACAATTTTGGTTGAAAAACAAGTTGAACTATCTTGGTAGTATTATTTTTTATTTCCAAATAAAAGTGTGAAGGATGTACCGTCATTCTCATCGTTTATCTTTACTCAATCAGATGTACACAGGTATGGCCCTGTGAATTTGTCATCTCTATTACTCTCCCGCTGCTTTACAGAGCTGACGTCACACAACGGGAAAACGAAAGAGACGAAAAATTCACTAGACCATACTTCAAGCTGAACATTGCATTAGGTCCTAAGTAACATTGCTCGATTCTCTTCGTCGACTTTCTCTTTCGTTAATAACATGAGCACATAACCGTTTCTTGTTTTGTTTGTCGTATTAGATGCTAGATAAAAGCTTCTTTTATCGAACTGTGTGCTGAAAATACCGGGGAATGTCTTTACATGGCCGTGGGGATACAAAGAGAAAGTCGATGAAGAGAATCTGCCAATGTTTCTTAGGACCTAATGCAATGTTCAGCTTGACTTGTGTTGATACGATATAACAAAGCAAGCAGTGCAGTGGTGTTGACTAAGGCTGTGAACCATTTGCCGAGATAAATTTAACTCGTGGTTAAAAGTGACATTTCGAAAGTTATTTTCTATGTACGAAAATCCCCGTGCTGTCGATCGACCGGTTTTCGAGCCACGGTTGTCAAAATTTAACTTCTTGTCTGTCAGAAATAACCATGCTCGGATAGCAGGGTTAATCGATAACTTTTCATCTGTCAAATTTTAACCAAAAGTTAAAATAATCCACCAAATGGTTCAGAGCCTAAAGAGCCTAAATTTATACCTGGGAATATCTCTTTAGTGTTGACGTATGAGAAAGAGGAGAAAAAATAAAATAAAATCATAACCAACACATAGGGGACAATGGTACATAACGCACCCCCTGGGCAGAACGCACGAGCAGACTTTCATTTGTGTTTTTCGAGGTTTTGTTCGTAACTTATTTGTTGACTTATCAAGCAACACTTCTTGCTTAGCATCTGAACTCAAAATGCACCATGTTAAATCTTAGAATTGGATTAAAAATGCCAAGAAAAGCTCAAAATAAAATGAAAAATTGCGCTCTACCCTGGAATGCGTTATATACCATTATTCCTTACCAGTTTCTTTGCTGCGCTGCGCACGCTTCAAATTACTCCTTATGAAAAAAAAAATACTGTGCGCAAATGAATCTGATTTTTTTCTATATGTATCTTCCCTGAGTCCTAGATGAAATGAATGTTCTGCATATAGAGAATATAAATAAGAGGGAACTAAACCGACAATCGTGGATTAACAACAAGAGTTCACGCGTGTTGAATGAAAAAGATAACAACCTGTGTCAAGAATGAAAGAAAGAATGAATTTCAGTGAACATTTTTGCACTGATGTGTTACTTATAGTGATTTTCAAAATATAAGTTCAACATTTTTCAACTCTGAGTCGAGGGGGCGACTCTATCTATGATGTAGGGAAAATTGTGTTTTGCTGTGCTTTGCTGCGCACACGCTGAGTCGATTGAAAGAAGATTGATGACGATTCTGAAGATTCCCTGCAAAAATATTATGCGCGATGCAAGTAGATGCGAGAAATGAAAGATTTTTCGAAGATTGATTCGCTATCTCAACCGGCAATGATTGAACGTTCTTTTGTTGCACAGATTCTCAGTCATCCAATATCGTCAAGGTAATGCAAGCTATATATATAAATGATGAAATCAAAATCGAAACAAGTGACGAATTGTTCTCGAGTCACTCCGAGGTTCAGAAAAAATTATCCCAATTGGGGCCAATTGAAAGTTACGGGCCAAAAGAACCAAGTCCAAGATCCCCTAACCTCTGGTCAAGCCCTGGAGGCCGTCTGGGGTGAGCAACACACGCCTCTTTTGTCACTAGCTCACCTTATAATTCAAATTTCTCAGGGTCGGCCACTGACCTCGGGAGGAGTCAGAACAACCGATCACTTACCTTGCTGTGCCGAAATGAAATAACGACTGGACAATAAACCCTCATCTGCCAAACATGCTGGCTCTTTCGATCAAAAATATAGGTAATTGGAAAGTGTTTTTAAGTTTGAATTACATATATTAAAGCCTATTTCCTGATATTTTTTAACTCTTTATTTGTTCCAAATTCAAAATAAACTACATTTCATTTTAATCTAGGTGCTCCAGTTACTACAGTAACTTACCAGCCTTAATTGTTATGATATATATCTAAGTATTTTTACATTGTTCCTGTCTTGGCAATTCAGTATTTTAATATTTTAAACAGGTTTTTTAAACCTGCATGTCAGTATAACAATTGATATCTTAAAACTAAAAACTAAAAGTAAATCTTATCTAAGTATAAAGAGAATTAATCGTGGCAATTGAGGATTGCAACGATTTTTGCCTGAAATTATTAATTATTTTGTCGGACATTTGTTCTAAAGTCTCAACATTCGACATTCTATGCACTTCGGTAGTACTGTACCAGGGAAGCAACTTCAAAATCATCTTCAGAACTTTGTTCTGAATCCTTTGAAGTGCTTTTTTCCTGGTAGTGCAACAACAAGACCATATTGGCACAGCGTAAAGCATGGCCGGTCTAAAAACTTGTTTAAATATTAGAAGTTTATTCGTCAGGCAAAGTTTGGATTTCCTGTTTATAAGAGGATACAAACATTTTATATATTTGTTACATTTGGCTTGAATGCCCTCAATGTGATCTTTGGTCAAGCACTAATCCAAGATATTTCACTTGACAAGACCGAGAAATTGGAACTCCGTGAATACTGCTAGGTTTCAAAAACGAAGCTCTAGGCTTATGTGGAAATATTATAAGTTGAGTTTTGGAAGCGTTGGGAGAAATCTTCCATTTTTGTAAATAAGAAGAAAAAATACATTTTAAGTGTTTTTTATGTTACTTCATACGCGAAATTAGCGATTTTCAGAGTTGGTTGGAAATGCTAACATGAAGCTTTAGTGTGATAATTTATTAGCTAGAGAAAGATCTTTAGAAGAGGGTAGGTGGATAGTTCCGTTAGAGTATGGCAGTATGAAAATTGAATAGAAGTTGAAAATGAGCGAAGGGCCATTAATGCGACAGTTTTTAAAGAAAGACGCACATCTTTTGCTTAACCCGTACGATGTACGCGGAGACTTGAAGTATGTAGACTTGGAGACATACTCTGTAATAACAATCATCAAACAGAATATTACCATTGGAATTGCTTTGAGCATTATTCCATGAGCGGTGTTTTGCATTAAAATCACCAATAATGAAGAATTTAGACCTAAGACGGGTAAGTTTCTGGAGGTCACCCTTGAGAAAATTCTTTTGCTGGTCTACGCATTGGGATGGCAAATAGGCAGCTAAAAACGTAAGTTGTCCAAATTTTGTTTCAACAGAAACTCCCAAAGTTCCAAAAACTTTGGTTTCAAATGAAGAAAGAATTTTATGTTTGATTCGTCTATGAACAATGATGGCAACGCCACCACAGGGTCCATCAAGACGATCATTTCTATAAATGAAATAATTTGCGTCCTTCTTAACCTTATAGTCAGGTTTAAGAAACATTTGAGTTATAACGGCATTATGAACTCTCAAAAAGTTAAATAGCTCGTCTTCATTATCTTTAAGAGATCGAGCATTCCAATTTAAAAGATTTAATGCTTTAAAATCCATTACTGAAATTCAAAGTCATGACAATATTATTAGCAAATTTTACTCCAGTTTGAATAGCATTAAACATGGAGTTAGATTTAAGCATATCAGAAATCATGGCAATTAATTTTCAAATTCCATTTTATGGGCAGTAATGCTTCCTAAGTCAAAATTGTCAAAATTTCCGTTAGAATTTCGTTGGTTAGAATTTTGATTTCTGCTCGCTGCAATAGCAGCAGAGGTAGCTCCATTAACTCGCTGAACATTGTTAGCAGCGAGCCCAAGTAACAATCTGAATGCTTGGAAGATTTATTCTTATTTTATCATTGTTTTATCATAGCATCCCTTCCAGCCTGTGGTTGTATTACGGTTTTGTGTGCTTGTCATAAAATCAGGCCTTCAAGTCGTCTATAAAACTGTTTTATGACTACTAAATTAAAACTCAGACTTCATAGTTTTAA